ATTGCTTGCCTAAGAGGGATCCAGAGTAGGTCAACTGGAAAATGTGCTCATTAAGCCTCCATCAATGAGACTCCTATGGAGCTCCAGACAGATTTTAAAGCTGCCTTTCCCCATTGGAACACCTGCAGGAGAGCAGCAACGATTTCTCCTCAGCCACTGGTGTAAGTCTGGCTTAATAGGAGGGGTTGCTATTTGACTCTGGAAACTTCTTTCAAATGTACTGATACAGCAAAGAGGTGAAGGGCCTGATTCCCCGCTGTTACTCCAGTTTTACAGAATGGTTCTTCGGTGGAGTTCCACTAGTGCAGAAGCGACATGATGCAGTGAAGTATCAGGTCCCCAGTCTTTCACTGCAGCCAAAGACATGCAGGACAGAGGTGCAGTAACAACTGTCTCAATCAAACATGTCAAGTCATTGCATTCTTGGCATCTTGTAATCTGAACAGCCCCAAGATGCCTGACAATTTAAAGCTACACTGAGGGATCACTTTTCCCACCACCCAAATACAGCCAACTCCGTGACAGAAATATGGCAACTGTTCCAGAACCAGCTTACCAACACTAACGCTAAACATAATTTAACATGGGAAGTGAAGAATATTGTATCCTGTTGAAAAGCCAGGGGAAAGTCATGTCGGTAGAAAGTAAATGAGTTATAATCTGGCCAGAAGACCCCATCATGGATTATATATTGTATATTCTGAATATACAATATGTAATCCATATAAAAAAATAAATCAGGAATCACTTTCTCTCATCCAAAAAAAAAAAAAAAAAAAAAGCACAGAACAATTTTCCTTAACACCATGATAAGGCATTGGTTTAGAGAGAAACCTGAATCACCAACATCACTTCTTGCAGCATTTAGGTGTCTGGGACTGGCTGTCGGCTACACTGGCCTGTTCTGACCCTAACCATCTTGTGACACTGCCCCACATCACAACTGGAAGTTTTATACAGATTACTAAGAAAGGAGATTATCTTGACACTTTTGCTGTGTGCTCCCTTTGATAACACGTTTTACTAGGTTAGGTTTACTGTCTTTGTCTTGTAGGACTAGCTAATTTCACCCACCTACCCATCCGCATTTGTACAGCTTTAAAACCAAATTATGTCCTTACATTCATGAGCAACTCCCCAGTGGAAGTCAATGGGAACCACATGCACACCTGAGAGGTAGTTTCAGCTCTTAAAACTTGTTTTATTCTGCAGATTAGCTAAATTATATATGTATGTATTTACTGTAGACTACAACTGATAAAATCTCTCATTTGTAAGCATAAAATGTTTAATTGGGAAGACCAGGTGGAAGAAATGGACATCAAGTTTTAAGCAGAATATCACAGTTGATCCAGTATTCCTGATCTTGCTGAGAATACTCCATCCATCCAAAAATGGTTTCATTTTTAGCAGAGACAAATCACTATCAAGAAATCCCATAAGCCAATTTCAATAGCATATAAACAGAGTATTGTTGTTGCACTGTCTAGACACACAGTTGCTTGCAGTACCTCTGAAATTCATCAAATGGATATTATTAATCATGCTAATTACAACAGTGCTCAAGGGCCAACCAAGAATGGGGTCCTAATGTGCTAGGTGCTGTACAGAGTAGTAAATTACTCTTGCCCTGAAGCACTTACAATCTAACTAGACAAGACAGACACAAGGTGGGGGAAGAGGTAAAACACCCAAGCAGAGTGAACAATGTGATGCCACCAAACTGCATGTTCTATGATTTGTTGGGAGGGATGGGGGTTTAGGTCAGGGGAATCATCTAAATGGGGGCGGGGGAAGGAAGGGTGAGAGGGGGACAGGACAGATAAGAAGAGGACAAGAGAGGCAGGTGTAGAATAAAGCTGCGGTGAAGAGACTGTAGGAGAGGAAGAGGGTTGTAGCACGCAGCAAATCAATCAGCACAGGGCAGAGAAAGTCCAGTGAAACCTGTAGAAAGTTCTCTGAATGTCCAAAGGTCCCTGCCCCAAAAGATGGGGTGTCTGGCTGGTTCCTCTCTGCAGTTTTTCCCCCAAGACTCCTTTGTGGTGTTGGTGGGGCACTCATCTTCCAGCTTCACTGGGGATGTGGTGAGCAGACACCTCATTCAAAGGGGCAGGAACTTGGCAGAGCATGGGGAGAGGTGGGTGAACAGACCCGACCAGGAGGCCTGGGGCAGAGTAACAACAGCAAAAGATACTCCCAGTGAGAACAGCTGACTGAGCGGAAGGAAGTGAAAAAGGCTAATCACATTTCTCAACCATTAAAATCTAATACAACACAAGTGTAATGCAGAAGTGTTGGAGAAGTCCTGGAAACAGCCCTTCATCATTCAATGTATTTTGCGCATGCAAATTCTAGAAGTTCATAGTAGGAGTTATACAGTTAACCACACAGAGACTCTTGATATTTAGCAGTAGAACTTTTGATATGGCTGAAGATTGCATTAATACCTTTATATAGAAAAATACTATGTAAACACCACCATGAACACTTGTTTTTACCGAGGGAGGAAATAATGAAAATTGAACAAACAGCAGAGCAATTGCAAGAACACTCAAGTAACATACAAGCTAACATTAAGCAAAGGTCACCATTTGGCATTTACTATACACTATTTGCCAGACCTGGCCAGATATAAATATTATCATCTGCCACACTTACCTTCTATTTCTATTATTCTAATAAACTCCAAGACCAATTGCTTTAATAATATGTCAAAAATACAATATATATTAAGTAGTCCATAGCCTCCAAGTGTCTCAGATGGGTGCCTAGATATGAGAACCTAGATAGCTAGAACTTAGCAACCTACTGTGAATAAGCATCAGCTGACATACTGAGTCTAGCAAGCAAGTCTAGCACCAACATCACACTATCAAGTATTAAAGTAGATTTCTATGTTCTCTCAGAGCGAGAGGTGGTTAGAAACTAGAAAGATGATTCATTTGCAAAAAACGTACTTAACCTGAACTTTCCCCACACGTTCGTAAAAGTAACTATTTCCCCGTATGGTACTTCTTATGCCATGAATTCTTTTCCTCAAGGAAGAAATTTTAATATATTTTAACATTAAATTCTTTTCATTACTTGTAGAGTGTCAGACTTAGTTTGACAGGTGTGCCTTGGGACTGAACTTCCCCATCCAAAGAATAAGTATTCAAGGAGACTGTGGTAGTGCAAACTTCCCTATATCATCCTTTAAGAGTGCTTAGACATCAAATTGGACCCATAGAGCTCAAAAGAGTACTTCTACGACTACTCAATATACGTCTCCACTTTAAAATTCTCTGAAAAGACTCTGAGTAGTAATTGGGATGTGACCACCTGGCCCACTAGGAACTGGTCTGAAACCAATTCATTTCTGCAGACATTGAAAGGCCATCATCAGATAAGTATGTTCAAATCACTAGTGACTCAGGCAAATTTGACTATGTGACCTAGAGGTGAAGGGCTCTATATCCTATTACCAATCACATGGGCCATCTGGTTCCTCCATTGCAAGATTTAACACATACACACACAAAAAAAGGTTCATGCAGCATGCATCAAAATTTATCCGATTTAATTCTACAAGTTGTTTTTAGAACAAAATGATTCCCAAATGACTTCAAAAGAAATCAATAGACTATATTCAGGATTTCTCCCCCTTTTATTGATTCCCGATGGTTTCACAACAGCTTTTCTTCTCTTTGGGGGAAATTACAAAGAAAACAGTTGCAATGATAGTCATTTGCCTTTAATTTTACACTATCAAGAAGTGTTTCTGATTTCCATCTCTCTGAAATTGCATTGAATCTATGAATGACCTGACCACCACCCAAACCACCTAGGTTGTTACTACTCTTATGAAAGCTGTTAGCCCGGACAAAGGACTTCTGTTGTCACTTACCATACAGGCTCATGATCATGGTGCCTTATAAAGGTAACTCCACCATTGTTTAGTTAATCAATGCTTACAAAATAGCATCAACATCTTCAGGATAGTTTTCAGAGTAGCAGCCGTGTTAGTCTGTATCCGCAAAAAGAACAGGAGTACTTGTGGCACCTTAGAGACTAAGGCTACGTCTTCACTACCCGCCGATCCGGCGGGTAGCAATCGGTTTATCGGGGATCGACTTACCGCGTCTCGTGAGGACGCGGTAAAATCGATCCCTGATGGCTCTACCGTCGACTCCGGAACTCCACCTCGACAAGAGGCGGTAGCGGAGTCGGCGGCAGCGCGGCAGCGGTCGACTTTCCCGCGTCCTCACCGCCAGGTAAGCCGACTTAAAATACGCAACTTCAGCTACGGTATTCACGTAGCTGAAGTTGCGTATCTTAGGTCGGAAGTTCGCTGTAGTGTAGACCTAGCCTAACAAATTTATTAGAGCATAAGCTTTCGTGGGCTACAACATCCGAAGAAGTGGGTTGTAGCCCACGAAAGCTTATGCTCTAATAAATTTGTTAGTCTCTAAGGTGCCACAAGTACTCCTGTTCTTTTTTCAGGATAGTTGTTTCCTATTCAGTATATTTAGCTGCACAACAGCACAATGCATTTCTCATTTAGATAATGAACTCCCTCCTACTCTCCTAAGCAGGCTCATTCAAAAGATTTACCATGCCTGGGAAATGCACGGATTACATTCCGATGAACGTACATTTTCTTGCTACGGTTTCAAAAATGTCCTGCCATAAGAAGTGTCAGCAACCGCTTCCCGCACAGGAACAATACATCCGCCCCAGCAGCCCCCTCGTCCATTAGCAGGACAGAGCAGCAGCAGCACCTGGGCTGTGTTTATTCATTGGCTGGTAATGAAGAGCTCTTTAAATTTGCAGGACCCTGCCATCTCGGGTGTCCTCTCCCTAGACACCGGGTGAGGATCACATCCCGTGCAGCCAGATCCCCCTCCCTGCCAGCGCCTGGCTGGGCCGGGGCAGCTCAGTCAGCCCCAGCGAGGAGCAGGCAGGTGGGTCTCTAACACGTCGGCCCTTGGGGGGGAAGCGGGAGAAAGGAGGCCCCTTACCTGAGCTGTCCATGGTGCTGCTGCTGCCGTCCAGATGCTGCGGCTGCGGCTGGTGTCGGGCCGGGCTCCGGGCTGCGGCCAACACGGCCGGGATCACCCCTTGCTTGCTGCCGCCGGCTCGCTCCTTGCTGCCCCCGCAGAAGTCACCGTTGCTCTCCACCAGCTGCAAAGATTCGTACCCGTCATTGCTGGGCTTTTTGCGGTAGCTCCCGAGCAGGCTCATGGGCGAGTCCGAGGGGGGGGAGGCTGCGCGGGCAGGGGCGGGAAATCGCACGCGCCTCGCCTTCCCCGGGGGCAGAGGGGCCGCCAGGAGCAGCCCTAGCAGGGCCCTGTGTGCTGGGCGTGGGCCGCCGGCTCCGCTCCCCGGCTCGGCGCAGGGACTCCACCGGCGCGGCCTGAGCACAGCGCTCCCCGGCGGCCGCCACAGCCCAGCGCTCGGTGCTCGCAGGCTCGGCGCCCCTGGCCGGGAGCCAGCGCCTGTCTGGAGCCCGGGCCCGGAAGCAATCCAGGGGGCGTCTGGCCCGGCCCGCGCCCTGCCTCTCGCGGCCTGGGCTGCGCGGCACCGACAGGGAGGGGAGGGGCACGCAGGGCAGCGGCCCCCGCCCGGCAGGGCAGGGGAGTGGGTGGGTGAAAAGGCCTAATGGCGGCCTGGCTCAGCCTAAGGCTAAAATAGCCTCTTAAGCCTCCCCCCCCCCCCCCGTTTTAAAAGGGTTTGAGGGAGGGTGATTTCAGTCTTAGGGCCAGAGTGCTCGCGGCCTCTGTTCGAAAATTCTGTCTCACGTGTGTAACACCCCCCCATATTATATTATCTACACACACCCTGCGTATTATCTCCATACACACCCCGCACATATCCCCTATGTATTATCTCCATACACACCCCGCACATACACCCTATGTATTATCGACTCATGTCTTCTCCGCTCTTTATTCCGAACTCAATTTTCTCTTAGCAGTCAAGGAGTTAAAAGGAAAAAGAAAACGGAGAAAGTCTCTCTGATTCGGAGCTATAATTCACCTAATCTAACCATGCCAAGGACTGTAAAACCACAGACAAACTGCAGTCACTGGCACTGCCAGGATACTTGGACCAAACCCCCTCAAACAAATGACACCGGACAATTCTGTCAATGCCACCTTTCTCGCCACAGGGCTTAGACTAAATTGATAGTGGTAGAGACATAAGAATGTCCATACTGGGTCAGACCAAAGGTCCATCTAACCCAGTATCCTGTCTTCCGACAGTGGCCAATGCCAGGTGCCCCAGAGGGAAAGAACAGAACAGGTAATCATCAAGTGACCCTGTCATCAAGTGATCATCAAATCATCAAGTGACCCTGTCGCCCATTCCCAGCTTTTGGCAAACAGAGGTTAGGGACATCATCCCTGGCATTAATGGACCTATCCTCCATGCAGGGGTGGCCAGTCCGTATAGGCAAACTAGGCAGTCGCCTAAAGTGCCAAGTTAAATGGGGCGCCTAATTCGATGAAAAAAATCAAATGTAAAAAAAAAAACCCGAAAAAGACGAAAAAAACCCCAAATAAAATAACAACGATGCCATTATTTCAATTCCCGTGCGTGTACGGAGGGAATATGAATTATAATTCATTTCTCTACATTTCTGATAATTTATTAATATGTCAAATCTTTTATTTACTGCAAAAATAAATAATATTTTAGCGGAAAAAAAATTCAATTTGCGATATAGGGTCAAGATGACCCACTCCGCAATTTTGATAAGCAATAACTCAGCCACAATGAAACACATCCACCAGCAGCAAGAGCTGCAATGTTAGTGACACCTATCTTGAATATACATCAAGGTCGCATAGCCAGAAATTCATGTAGAGAGGAGATATCGCGAGTTGATACATGTCAAACGGTCGTTTTAACACACTTCGCAGGTAGATGGTTAAGAATCGAGCGAATACTGTGGAAAATTGTATTTCTTGGTGCCAAAGAATAAAGAATAACGTCTTTCAGCATTATAAATCCAAAATGTGAGTATCTTTAAGCGTTATTAAACCTTAGCGTTATTATCGGGCTGTATAATTATGAACTTTTCTTTGTTATAACTGGTTCACATGTAATAAATAAGGTCCATAAAAGAAAAGTAATAGTGTTAACACTTAATAGACTACGAAAGTGATGATGTCACACTCCAAGCAGGTAACTGTGAGGAAGGGGATTACTTTCCAAACAACCGGTGTTGGGTTATAACGTCAAAAAAGGTCATTTTGTTTCCATGTAAACACTGTAACTAACTATTTTAATAGGTAAGTGAGTGTATGTTACTAATCATTGAATCTTTAAGCAGTGAAAAGACATGTTGGGATGGCTGCAATGTGGTTTAAATCACCAACCATGTGGTGGGTGTGTCAGCCATCCTTAAAGCTATAATGCTTGCAGTCGGGAGCATAGTACATAACAATATTCAAATGCCCCATGATAGAAAGAGGAAAAAGAAAACCCTCAGGAGCTTAGTATCGTAAACAAAAGGCTGAGAAGGAAAAGGACCAAGCAAAACAGCAGGGATCCTTCTTGAAATATCTTCTCTTTAATCCAAATAAAGATGGAAGCAGTTCACAGCATCCAGATGAAGGAATTTTACTTGGAGAGGAGGTTAGCTCACATCCGCATGGAAGCAGTTTGGAACATCAAGATGATGGAAACTTACGTCTAGATTAAGGCAGCTCACAGCATCTGATATGGATGTGGAGAAAATTTATTCACCTTCAGAGACACATGCAGACATTGAAGTAAATGAAGTAGAAGGAAGAAAGGATGAGGAAGTTACAAACAAGTTACAGTATGGGGACCCAGCTTCATGGCCCAGATGTGATGACAGTGTGCGGCAAATGCTCATGGAACATGGACCCAAACAAGTTCATGAATTTCCCTTACCTAAGGATGGAAATAAAAGAAAATTCTCTGCTCAGCATTACAAGAGGAAACTCATTAATGGGGAAGAAATTCATCAAAACTGGTTACAATATGCAGTGTTGAAGGACTCTGTTTTGCTTTTGCTGCAAGTTGTTTAAAAATCAAGCAATTGGTACATCACTTATTGAAAATGGTTCGAAGGACTGGAAAAACATATCTTCAATTCTCTCTTCACATGAAAGAAGTACAGAACATTTGGAATGTTTTCAAAATTTGAAATAACTTGAATTACGAAAAAAAGGAAAAACTATCAATGAAGAAAATTTACGTGTGATGAAGGAAAAAGAAGAATATTGGCAACAAATATTAGAGAGTGTCTGGTTGCTTTAGTGAGAGTTCTCAGTGGGCAAAATTTAGCATTCCGCGGCCGCTGTAGAAATGAAAAATTATACACTCTAGGTAATGGAAACTTTTTAAAATTTGTTGAATACCTAGCTTTGTTTGATCCAGTCATGAAGTAGCATCTACATAAAATAACTGATCATGAAACATAGGTTCATTACTAAGGAAAAAAATATGTAGAATGAACTGATTCAAATCCTAGCAAATGTCATTAAAAAGAAAATTGTAGAAGCTGCCCATTCTGCAAAATGCTTTTCAATAATACTGGACTGTACACCAGATGTGAGTCATGTTGAACAAATGATGCTTTGAAGCCTCTTTGCTATGAATTTGGAAACATTTATGATGCCCTAATTGAAATTTCTGATGATACTACCTTTACTGAATCATCTGTCAGATGCAGAAGCTCTTGCAAATGGCCTTTCCAAGTTCAAATTTGTGACTTCCCTCATTTTGTGGTATAATATCTTTTTCAAGTTTAATCTCACTAGTAAGCAGCTTCAGGAAAAGAACTTGAATATACATTCTGCTATTCAAAAACTGCAGCAAACTAAAAATATTCTGGAGGAATTTAGAAGTGATGAAGTGTTCAAAAGAACACTGGTAGATTCTCTCGAGCTTGCTGAAGAAATAGACTTTCCAACAGAATTTGAACCAGAGCCAGTTCGCATTGGGCAAAAGAAACAGCAGTTTTCGTATGAAGGACGAGACACACCCATTCAGAACCCAAAGTGAATTTCTACTTTGCAGTCCTTGATACTGCTATTCACTCGGTTGACGAAAGATTTCAACAGGTGTAGCAGCTAGAGTCAATATTTGGCTTTCTATATGGTATCCACAGCTTGCAAAAGAAAACAGCAAAACAGATCAGAAAATTTTGTATAAAACTGGAGTCAGCATTGACTCATGAAAATTCAAAAGACATTGATGCTACAGATTTGTGTAGTGAGCTTCAGGCTTTTTCAAGACAACTTAAGAAACATTCCACTCCTGAAAAAGACCTGAAGTTTGTTTGTGAAAATAAACTCTCAGACATTTTTCCAAACATTTTTATAGCTCTACGCATTCTTTTAACTTTGCCAGTTTCCGTAGCTAGTGGGGAACTTAGCTTCTCAAAGTTAAAATTGATAAAAACATATCTGCATTCAACAGTGGTGCAAGAGAGACTTGTTGGACTTGCCACAATGTCAACAGAGCATGAAATAGCTGGAAAACTGGATCTAAAAGAACTAGTGACTGAATTTTCAAAACTTAAAGCAAGAAAAGTCATGTTTTAAGAGCACAGAGTGTTTTTTATTCGGAGTGTTTTGTAAATACAGGTTCAGTCTTCATTGAAGAGTTTTCTTATTTCTTTCTATATTGGATCTGGTGGTAATGGCAGTTAAAGCAGGATAGCGTAATGGATGATTTTGGATTTGTAATAATAAAAATTATAATTAACATTTTTAATGCATTTTTATTTGAAATTGGACTGAAATATCATCTAGCTGTCATCTACAAATCTATTCTGAAAGTTTCATGTCTCTATTTTATCTGATCTCAGAAACATTGGTTGGACAGATGGACGGATGGACAAACGAATAATTAAGCCTCTGTTTAAAAAAACCCGCTTAAAATACAAAAGGAAAAAAGGGGCAAAATGTTTCCCAGTTTACCAAAAACCTCACCCTAGACCTGCCCTTGGTGTTTGGGGGTGGGGGTGCCAATTGCACAGTTCGACTGGGGTGCCAGTTGCTGGCAGCTAGTCTAGGGCTGCCCCTGCCTCCATGAACTTATCTAGTTCTTTTTTGAACGCTGTTATAGTCTTGGCCTTCACAACATCCTCTGGCAGGAGTTCCACAGGTTGACTGTGCGTTGTGTGGAAAAAATACTTCCTTTTGTTTGTTTTAAACCTGCTGCCTATTCATTTCATTTGGTGAACCCTAGTTCTTGTGTTC